TCAAGAAGAAGCTGCTACACCTATCACCAACATAGCCTCGTCTTCTTCAGCACATAGACCTCCTAGGAAGGGGTTCCGGCAGCGTAGACCACCGGATACGTACACTCCTTCCTAGTTAGTTTGTATTATGGTATTTTTGTGAACTTTTTTTTTTGGTGGATTATGTTGAATGATATTTGGTTATCTATATATTTTGAATATATTATTGCGGTCGTTTTTATTTGTTTGAATAATGGATTGATTTGAGCTTGTGGAATGTTGTTGAATAGATATCGATTAACAAGTGTATTATTATTATTTACTCTGAACAAGAATAATTTTGGCACAGTAAAACATAATTTTAAAATAAATATTTTTTTAAAAAAATGTATTTCGAAAATACGTTTTAATTTGGGGCAAAAATTAGGTCAAAATCAATTTGGGGCAAAAATTAGGGCAAAATCAATTTGGGGCAAAATCATACTAAAAACGTATTTCGAAAATACGTTAATATGAAAACGTATTTTCACAATATGGCTTATATTTTAAAATATTTTTATTTCGCAAATATAAATAATTTTCAAAATTTGTGAAATTAATTTTACTAAGAAACCGTATTGTCGAAATACGTTTTTTGTTTAAAACGTATTATGAGAATACATTTTCAGATAAACGTATTCTGGTTATATGATTTTGTTCATTTTAAATATGATTAATTAACTTAATTACAATTTAATTACGATTTATAATTATATTACACAAACACGAATTCTTGGAATACGTTTTATTATGAAAACCGTATTCTAGAAATACGTTTTTCATTGAAAAACGTATTATAAAAATCCGATTGTTTTATTTTGGTCTACTTCTTTTTTTTTTTTTGTCCAGTTATTTTATTTAATTTTTATTTACATCAAAAAATCAATATAGTTATCCTCATTTATCCGCTAATAAAAATTGTTGACCATTATATATTATTAGTTAATAGTCAAACAAGACATATTAATATTAGGGAGATGCTATGGTCCCGTTACGGAATCATTCTATCGGGGTTTATAATCGTTATATCAACTATCTCCGATGGTTGTACGATGATTTAACCGTTACAACCCCGACGGAATAGCTTCGTAACGGGACCTTAGCATTTCTCTTAATATTATACTCCTTCCTATTTTTAACAAGTGTCGTTTTGATAAGATGCACAATAATTAAAAAAAAAAATTGTCAATAATAACTCTCATTAATGAAAATAGAGATGAATGTTTTAAAAAAAAATATGAAGACTGGATATAAAAATCGTAATCTATTTATTAGCTACATGAGAGTAATAATAAAAATAAATATGTATAAAAGATTCAAAACGTCATTTATTTGACTATTGGTTCGTAAAGTCAAAATAACATTTAAAAAAATAGGCGGTAATATCAATTTTCACATTTATGGACTAGTTATTAATAACCAATATGACATCACAAAATACTCGGTAATGCTAAAAAGGAAAAACGTAGTGAAATTATTTAATGCACAGCTGATAGATTTGATGACACCTAAATTAGTTTAAAAGAATCAACTGTCAGCTAATATCGTCAAGTATTTAACTAATAACGCACTCTTCAAAAGTCCTTATAATGACTCCGACATGATAGTTAAGTGCTTTCTTAGCTGGAAGAATCTCAGTCACCATATAATGATAATGAATACTAATAGAAGCATGCAATTTAAAGTCTTCTGTCCAGGACTCTTTCCTATCTTTTCTTAGAAAAAAATAAAAAGCTTTTTGTGTATATATATATTTTTTTATATATATTATATGTTTACTTACGTTGTTTTATAATATATATCACTTGATTTTTTTTTATTTTTTTTTTATAATATATATCACTTGATGTGGGATAACCGTACCAAATTGACCAGACCCGAAAAGTATCAAAATCGAAATGGATGAACTATCAGGTCCAATGAAAATTGAAGAATCCTCGGGTCGAAGAGTACGTCAAGGTTACAGAGAGCACGAGTAAGTTGAATTAGAGCCCTCGGATGGTATGGTTGACATTCGACATGAAGGTACATCTGGTTGAAGGATAGACCAGACAAGCAGAATATAAGAGGTTGATGTCAGTGGTACTCCACCTCGAGGTAAGCGGGATCTGTTGCACGTTTAGACCGTCTAATAATGAAGACTAATGGATAAGAATGAATATTATTAAACTCCCACGTGGATTAGGCCACGTGGCTTAACAGAATTCGGCATTTTGGACAGTTTGGGTAGTTCGGGCAGTACGAACAGGCAGTCTGGACAGCCCACTCGAACAGACTTAGGAAACAAGATGATATCATCTCCTTATATATAGGAGTGGGGTATGTCTAACATTACATTACATTCTCTATTAGTACTCTACATATATACAACACTGTTGGGATCAACAATTCAAAACTCAGTTCTCCATCAAGCCCAACATACAAGTCCAAATGGGGTTCCATTCTAAAACCAATTGGCAATAGAAGGAGTAGCCCACCAAACTTATATATTGGACTTGAAACCTTTAATTTTTCGATGTGGGATTGGGTTTCACACCCTACAAACCTCCCCTCAAACACAAGACCACATTGGGCCTCCCCATGAGCGAAATTTCATACGATCCGACCTCTTGTACCGCCGTTATCATCCACGGAACCCGCCGCCTGACCACACCCTTTCGCCAGGAAGACTTTCGACACAAGGCACACGGATCCACCGGCCCTTCCGGCTCCACGGGGAACATGCCACGTCATCCACATCGCAACTGGACTACCAACCGTGGCTCTGATACCAATTGTTGGGATTAACAATTCAAAACCCAGTTCTCCATCAAGCCCAACATACAAGCCCAAAAACCAATTGGCAATAGAAGGAGTAGCCCACCAAACTTATATATTGGACTTGAAACTTTTAATTTTTCGATGTGGGATTGGGTTTGCACACCCTACAAACACTAATTCAACTTCTCATAGTGCCAAGCACCGCAGAAATTTTCTGAAAAATTCATCCGATGTGAGAATTTTTGCAGGTCCAAAGATGTTCAACCGACAAAGACCTCGAGATCAGACTGAATCCAACTGGTCGGAGGTCTTTAGCATACCATCACATCAACATATTTGTTAAAAATCAAATTAATTGACTAACGCACGCTAGGGTTGCAGCACTATCCCTCTTAATGTTCGTGTATTTTTATGAGTATTTTTTTTTTTTTTTTTTT